AGGTTGTTGGTTCAAGTCCCGGCTGGGTCAGTTGGCCAAAGGCATGCGCTATAGGTGAATTAAATAAACTAAATTGGCCGTAGTGTATGTGTGAATGAGTGTGTATGGGTGTTTCCCAGTGATTGGGTTGCAGCTGGAACGGCATCCGCTGTGTAAAACATATGCTGGATAAGTTGGCTGATCATTCCGGTGTGGCGAGCCCAGATGGATGAATTCAGGAGACAATAAAAAACTTGGGTGCAATTTTTTTGCCCAAAACAATAAAGCAAAACAGTTCATTTGCTGGTTCAGTTTGTTAAATCCCACACAGCGATGCCTGTCATTCGAGAAAATGTTGTTGGGTTTGTATTTGTGCACATGCAGGTCTGCCAGGAAGAAAAAAAATCATTACTAAAATCATTGAATCATTACTCACTGGCCTTGAAGTTTAGTTTTTTCAGCTATTTTGACAGTAACTCCAAAACAGTGGAATGATTAGCTGTCACAATGTGTTCGGTAATGACATTGGTTGCGGTGCACCCTACATACTAATAATGCCAGTAGTCTCATTGTGTTTAACGTGCCGTCCAGCATCCAATTTCCCACCAACAAAAACCCTGTCATTGAGGATGAGTCCAGTCTTCAACCCAATCAGCTATTAGCATGTCCCCCCGGCTCCATTTGCATATTTATTGCCCAATCAAAGCGACTCCTGTCATATCTTAAACATATGTTTACCAGGCTGCGCTCAAAGAACTCCCTGAATATGTGAAATGATAGATATTTAAAGCATTACACAGAGGTCACAAATGAATGTTTAGGGATGCACTGTAAACAATCATTAGCATCTTTAGAGAGCTTAAGAAAAGCAGATGTACAGCTGAAGTCAAAATTACTAACCCCCTGCATATCCCCCCTAATTTCTGTTTAACAGATAATAGTCTAACACATGATAACATGATAGTTTTGATAACTGATTTATTTAATCTTTGCCATGATGACAGTAAATAATATTTGACTAGATATTTTTCAAGATACTAGTATGCTTAAAGTGACATTTAAAGGCTTAACTAATTAGGCAAATTATTGTATAACAGTGGTTTGTTCAGTAGACAATCGAAAAATAAATGTTGCTTAAGGGAGCTAATAATATTGACCTTTAAAATGGCTTTTAAAAAAAATTAAAAACCACTTTTATTCTAGCTGAAATAAAACAAGTAAGACTGTCTCCAGAAGAAAATATATTATTAGAAATACTGTGAAAAATTCTTAGCTCTGTTATGATCTGCCTTTTTTCCCTGTTGTAACTTTAACATAAATACAAATTATTAGGCTCATATTTGCAATTCTTATTTCTTACGATTTTTTTTAAATTAACTAATTAATTAATTTTTTTTATTTAACAATTTGTTGTCCAAATGTTAAAGGGCCATGAAACCCCCATGTTTCAGCAGGGTTTCACACCTCTATTTTGGAAAAAGTCAAAAAAGTGGGCGTGTCCAGCTCTGTTTAGGGGGGAGTGTCGGAGGAGCGAAAGAGGGAAGGTCCATAAATATTTGCATAAATATGGGAGTGTCGGTTTGGGCACGCGCTGATTTTCACAATCAAACACACAGACGCAGGCAAAACAAACACACAGACGCAGAGTAGAAAGACAGTGACTGTTTACGTGGACATCAGTAATCAAATTATTTGCCAAATTATTAAATGGTGGACTTTAACTGCAGTTTGGCTCTTTCATTCAGGAATTTCATTCATGCCACTCGTGACAAACGAGATATTTGATTCGAGGAATTGCTGGACGCGTGTATCTTTCATGCAATGTTTGTTACCGCACTTCGAATGATAGAAAAAAACCCTCCGAATTTCTTGGTAACTTAGATGCACTCGGCGTCAGAAAGCCGTGTGTGTTATTCCTGTCACAAAATGCGGCGAAAATCCTCCACGACGGTAAGTTTGATTGTGATGCTAACATGTTTACACTCGGAGAGCCGCATTTACAGCAGATTTTTCAATCCATAATGTTGTAGTGATATTAACGTACGGTAAACTTTATTAACTTAGAAATTATTTGACTAAGGTCCGTCTTTAAACACTGAAAGAGTACTGCTGACGATGCAAACTAATTTGCCTCTGAATAAACAAACAAAGACACTGATGGCTTACTTACCAAATCTGTAGAGACAGAACAATCAACGCCAACGGGAGCTGCGTTTTCATTAAAAGGAGATGAGAGGCAAATCCGGATTTCACCATTTCCAGACGAGAAAAGCTCTCAGGTACACAATTTTCCTTAGATTTGTATTTCTGTCGCGCGTTGCTTGCACTGATCCACGCGCGAGTCCAGCTGCGCTCTCATAGCGGGAAAATGAAAACAAAACCTTCACTGCAGCACATTATAAAAGCAACACTGATGACCCGTATCTCCAAACAATTCTTGTTCTCTTGCTTGGCAACACAACGTGGTGTCTCTCTGCCATCTGAACACTGTAACAGGTAAAAACAGTATTCGAAGCTATCATCCATATTAATGAAGTTGCACTTCATACACAATAGAGCGCGCTGATTGGTTTGAACCAAGTCTTACTCCTAAATGAATCCAGCACACTCCGAGACGTCATAAGGTACTCCCAGGTACAGACGTCCAGTCTACACGCTGGAATACGTGCTAAGATCTCTTGGCCGTGACGCAGTTTAAAAAATTAGTTTCAAACCAGAAATATGAATTTGCTCCAAATAACACAAAAACAACCAATTTTCACTTTTTTAGTGAGATATATGTGTCCTAATAGTGTTTATAGCAGTGTGGGACACGTATACGACTGTCAACAGCTCAAAAAATGTGTTTTGATGTTTTGTGACCCTTTAAGATATTACAATCACAACTATTAGAGATGGCTAAATTACACACTAAACAGCGACATTACACACAGCATGAAAGGTAATATCTGTAACATGCACTTTAAATTCCTGCACTTGAATATTCCAAAGCAAGTATCGCTAAAAGCCAAACTATATCCAGTGTCTCATGT